GCGCCCCCCCCCCCCCCCCCCCCCCCCCCCCCCCCCCCCCCCCCCCCCCCCCCCCCCCCCCCCCCCCCCCCCCCCCCCCCCCCCTACTCGAGTTTGACAGCATATATCGGATGGCTCAGTGGGTAGGAATCGAGGCGTCAAGGAGCATTCATTGCCTCTCCAATTGCAAACGATATAATTCAGCCATCAGAAAGTCTATTGAAAGATCAAACGTAAAGTATGTTCATGGAGCACTCGAGAATACGCCACACATCAATGCCCAGCCTCGTATACGCTTGCTCTACCTATTCCCCGATTCCGCAGCAGAGGACCTGCATGCTAGATAGAATAAGGTATCCAATCCTTAACGGAATGGCCTGGTTAGTTCTAGAGTATATACCTGAAGCCAACTGGAGTAGTTGTAATTGGGTTGGCGGACTGCGCCTGGAGCTCGTCTGACTCGGAGGCCTCGCGGATAGCCAGTTTCCTGTTTTGTCTCTGCAACACAAGCCTCGCGACAATGGCTAAGACGGCAACAAGAAGCGCGTCGGCTGCTGTGGCGCTTCCACCAGCAAGGTATCGAGGCCCGTCGACAGATGGATACCTTTGAATTAAACGCAGTCTGTGGTCAGCGCTCTTGTACATACATACACCATACGTGCTCCATGCTCCAAGTTTCTGCTAAGAGTCTAAGCTCCATCACCAGGTTATGTGCAGAACTCGGTGCGGCCAATTACGTACATGTAGGTGCCATAGATGTTAGCCGAGTTCCCGATCATGTTGGCGAAGGAAATGCAGACGCTGCGCTTGACCAGAGGGCGTGGAAAACTGTTAGCTACCCAGGCGAGAAGGATCTATAGTTTGAACATTCTCCAAATTAGCCATGCCCACGACTTTTGATAGAACAGACCATCTACCTCGTATAGGTACGTGTCACCATATTTGCTAAAGAGAATAGGGGGAATCACCTGATAAGCAGGAACCGCGCCCATCGGCAAGAGGAATAAGGCGAAGAAACGAACTGCGTTGTTGAGCGTGGCCACTACAATAATGTTGCCCGCGACAGAAATCAGCATCAAGCATATAATGTGAATGCTGCGGTCTGCGAAGCGTCCAGACGTATAAGTCACGACCAAGGAAACCAAGAAGCATACTACCCAGACGGGTACGGTTAGGAGCAGGGTTTCGATATTGCCGTATCCTAAAGTCTGCAGGATGGTTGGGAAGAAGTACTGAAACGTCTGCGAAAGGAGCGACGCATGCTGCAGCAACGTGAATAGGTAGAGACGTGGGTCGCGCAGCGCCAGCATTACCCCTTCTTTGATGGATGAGGCGTCGGCCACATCCACTTCTCCCGCGTCCTTGACAAGCCTCCACTGCGCGTACGCGCGTTCTTCTGGAGATAGCCATTTCGTCGTAGCTGGGTAGTTTGGCAAAATGAAGGCCGAGCAGATGGCAGAAAAGACTGTTATGCTACCCTCGATTATGAAAAGCCATCGCCTTTTTCAGTTAGCCAGTTAGCCAGTTTGCTTATATGGTGGATAGATGCTTACCATCCAGCGACGCCACGGGCGCCGTTTAAATTGCCCAGCACTCCAGCACCTAGGAGACCGCCAAACGCGTTCGCTACCGAGTGCCCGCAGTAGAACCACGCGATCCTAAGGGCCAGCTCGGGCCGAGTGTACCAACTTGACATTAGGAAGATTGCGCCTGGGAAGAATGGCGCTTCCGCTGTAGATACATTAGTGCTTGTTTCAAGAGCATGCCACTTTAGAACGCCCATGCTTCTCTCATGCATCAGGATGCAGTTCATGAAGGACCCTTCGTTGCTCGACAATAATATACGTACCAAAGCCAAGGAAAAATCGACAGACGACTAGAGAAGCAAACGTGCGAGTCGCCGCCTGAGCCGCAGATATAACTCCCCAGATCGTCATAGCTACCCCTAGATAAACCGAGGGCGACACTCGAGTTATCAGAAGATTTGACGGAAGCTGCATGAGTATGTACCCGACGAACAGGATGCTCGTCGCGAGGTTGAAGTCTGTGCCCGTCATGCCAAGGTCGTCTTCTAACGTCCCGAGACGGGCTTGCGAAAGGTTGCTGCTCCCCTCTATTAGATAGGTTCCAAAGAATATTCAGCCCGGGGGTGGTTTCTCGTGACTCACCTTCGATCAAGGAAGTTGAGCATATACATCAACATTAGCATCGGAAGCAGATGAAGGTCGACTTTCTTAGTGAGCCTCTTTGTTATCTCGCGATGCCAATCCAAGCTCGCCGTCGAAAACTGTCTAAACAAGACGGCCTGCTCTTCATCGACGCTGCAGTCCCTTGGCGCATCCGTAATTGTTCCCCCTTGGTGTTGAACCTCCTCGTTAAACTTCTCTATAACGCTCATGCTTCCTAATTTTCTATGGGCTGTCGCCGGTCCCTTCAAGTCTCTCCTAGTAGCTCCGTCTAGTGGAACAGTCTTGGTTTAAACTGCGTAAGGACTTGCGCATTAGTCAGTATCCAAAAACACCTACCTAATCTTTCTAGCTCGGTATTGAAGAAACTTAGGTTGCTGTTCCTCGGCAATGCAATTTACCGCCCGTATGTCAGCCGGATCGATCCGTGATGGGACTCTACGGGACTATTAGGATGTGGGGAGAGCGGGAGAGCGGGGGAGTCTGAGATCAGATGCAACTATATCAGTATTGCAGAGAGCTATACGCTATTTGATTCGATGGATGGATAGACTATCTTGTTATAATACTCCATGTGGCTTGAGAAAACCCTAGTATTAACGTTCGGGGAATGACACAACACCAATGTAAGATTAAGACCTTGTAACCCCAAGGTAGTGGGCACCAGTCAGAGAGCCCAGATGGATATCGTGGTCAGATTTATAAACTATGATCATCGGGTAGTAAGCAAACTGCTACGGTGTAGAACTCCAGAAATATACTTGAATATTTTCTTCCCATCTTTCCACACGTCTAGTCGGATTTATCTCGAGGGTCAAAGCATACTCTATCCTACCTACGCTCCTGGATCTATGTAACCTTGCGGGGTTTAGTTTAGGCTTGTTTATAGAGGCTATTTAGTAAGGCGAGGTTACGGGTTCACTGGACGAAAGAAGTAGATTGTTTATAAATGCATTGCTGGGCACGATATTAGAGGTTCTACTAATTTAAACCTGTAGTCTTAATATAAACATGGTTGAAATACTCGATTAACAGGCAGATATCTCTTGATATTTAACAGACGAACAAGTCATCTCACAACCGGCAGACATTGCAAGCCTTGTTAGCCACGTCAACAGCTCTACACGAATTCACAATGCGAGTTACATGCGACTCATAACCTTAGTGGTGCTAGGCAGTTAATAATTATTCTATATCGGCATATTCTCGAATAATACGAACTAAGCTGCCCTAGGTATAACTTCACCAATACAAGTTACTAACGAACTGAATATCTGACTCTTACACTCTGCTAAGGGCCATAGCAACCGATATCTACATTGGGTAGTGTATTGCTAGGAATATATTGGCCTTCAGCTTTGGTCATTAGACCTTGGATACTCTTTACGGCATCTTATTCGGGAACGGTCTTCACCAGATACCAGCCCGTTTGGGTAATAAACAAGCTAAAAGTTCATTAACCTCTCGCACATCCAAGGGTGCATACTTTAGTTGAAATTGCGCGTAAATCAATCCTCATTTACTAGACTAGTATCGCACATCTTAGTCGTTTAAGCCGAATATGATGCTTTAGATCTGACGATAAAAGCTGCCAAATATGCCAAGTCTATTGCCTCGAATGCAATAAGAATTGGAAGAGTAATAAAGATACTACAAGTCGATCGTCGTTGCTTCTTAGAAGGTACGGGTTCAACATATGGTGGTCTCTTTCTTCATGGGTCGTAACTCTGCTTTGATTAGATTCTTGTGACTATCTAGTAATAGAGAAGAATGTGAAATTACAGATATATGCAACTCATTGTTAGTAATGACTTACCTTCGAATCCCGTACCCACTATCCAAGTTGGTTTCCCGCGAGTCCCTCTCCTATAAGAATAGGAGGCAGACCTATCATGATCTTCGGTATAGCCCGTGAGCAACATGAAAAAATTCGAACTCGGGATAAGTTATGTCACTATAGAGGCAGAAGCCTTCTACTAGCTGACGGTCGTGCATTCCAGAGGTACTATCTCCTAATTCGCTCCCGGTACCACCTGTCAAGTTACCTGTTATTAGTCGAGCCGTGTGGGAATTCGAATAGAGCAAGCGGCCCTGAATATGTATGGGGAGCTCATTTGACGGCGACCGCAAATAGTAAAATATATCCGGGACGACGTCGATGATCTCTACGACAAGTGTTTGGGCCCTAGAAACAAGATCGGCGCGGCTGAGAGGCCATATATATCTATCTGCTAGATCTCCCACGTAGTCCACACCTTTCTCAGCAGCTACGATGCCCAATTTTTGACCCCTGGCGGGTCGCAGCAGGGCAATAATTTGGAGAAACTGTAGGTTAAGTCTGTCCTTGACGCTACCGAAAGAACGCAATGGAGGTAGGGAGTAGCGTGTCAAATGTCCCTGATCGTCAAATATTATTTCCAGAGATCGTAGATGTCGTATCGCCTCTATGGGTATAGCACTGAGGAATTCGCATCCAGGATATCGTTTAGGGGGCAGCGTTGTATTACCTACGAGGGAGGACGGGAGATTGTAATAACAAGAGGTGCGGACGACAAAGTGATTATGAGCAAAGAAAACAGCTTCGGCAGCCTCTCGAAAAGCTCGGCTGACGAAAAAGAAGGCAGTAGGGGGAGCCCAACACCGACAGAGAGGCGAATAAGCGGCGTGGCGGCGGGAGCAGAAGCACCCCGTGTAGGTCTGATCGCCTGCCGTGCTACGCCTCTCGCAGTCATAAAATTGGCAGGCGTAGTGGAAACATCGCCAGCAGTGCGATTCGGGCCCGTATCTTACCCTACTATCGCCGTGAGGACACACCAGGCAGCTCTTGCCAGCATCCTTGCTTGATACGCAAGCTCGGTGGTCGTTTGGGTGACAATACGGCGGTCCGTACTCGCGAGAGTCGCACTCTCTGAATGTATGATACCCTGCCCCCGGATTCCATCGAATCTTGTTGAAGGGCGTTACAAGATCCGTATACTCTAGGATCCTGATGCGTATCTCGGGTGGAAGACGTAGAAATTGAAATGTGGATGGTGGTGCTAGGCCAACGGCACGTTCAGCGGCGCTCCAGGCTAGTTGGCGAAGTTGACGGTGAGGTTTACACCCAAGCCGAATATGGCACCGCCTCAGGATAGGCAGCTGACGAAGAGGTGCTAGTACGAGATTTGCGGCATTCGCCCGTCTAGGCTCGCAGTCGCAAATGAGTGCTAATTCCAATTGCCGGGGTTTAATATGAGGGGCAATATGGTCGATAGCAGCCTTCCACTGAGATATGAGAGGGTCGGAATCCCTCAGCCCTTCACTATCATATCCCCAATACCTCTGTCCGCAATGCGTGGTACCAGCAACATTCAGGTGGATCTTGAGAGAGGTAAGATATGAGAGGGAAGATGTGTTAAGGCTTATAAGAGGACCCAAGCTGTGGGTGACTATGGTATTGGCCGAGTATAGATGCGACGACACTTCAACATGAATGGCTCGACAGACGAGCAAGAGGTTGAGGACGCCGTCCAGGTCCTGGCGTGTTCCGCTATAAGGACTACGGCTGGATCGGGGGATGTCAAGATATAGAAAAGTATTTGTAGGTAAACCTACGTGGCGATAGATCAGGTGCCGAATTGGGTTGGGGAGGTTGATGAACTTGCATGTTTCGTTAGCCGAGGACGACAGCGACAACATGACGCTGGAGGAATATTCAAGGCTGGGCAATCTTGAGACGTCGTGATAATAGTAATAGTTGATATGGGGGAGGGGTAAGAAAAGAGCGCGATAGGGTATAGTATAGTGATGTATTTCCGACATATGCTTTATAGACTGCATCATACCTAACCTTAGGTACCTATATGTAGGTGGGTACCTAACGGTAGGTACATGTACCCTGCTATAACTTGCAGGTGCATGTGTCCATCTATTTCGGTAACCTCAAAGACAGAAGTATACATGTATCGTACTAAAAAGTATATCAATTTTGTAATGCTTTAACCAGCAGCACATCTTCCTTTTCGAATTATCCACTTATACGGACATATAATAGAACTCTGCGTTTTCAATCAAGGACCTTTTCCATCTTTTCGGGTCGTGCTTCGTACCTAACTTTATGATGTGGCTTAAGTCCGGGAAGTATTATGGTAACCGCTTATTACGTACCTCGGTACCTACATATACATCATGTACATACATGTACCATGTCAACATCACCTACAACTTCCCCAAGCTCGCGCTTGTTCACACGCTTACACGCTCAAACATCTTCTACTTCGTACCCAAGACAACAACCTCACCAGGCCACCAAGTATTCTACAAAATGGCGTCGTCTTTTCCAAATGCTAGCAAGCGGAAAGGGCTAGAGAAGTCCATATCTCCTCCACCTTTAAAGCGCAAAACCCAAAGTAACATATCAAGTTCGTGTGTGGCCTACGAACCTCCTCGATTAATCGCTTCCTTTGCTAATTGTAATGCTACCGCTAGAGAATGCCGTGGCTAATTTCTTCACCCCGACATCCCAGAAGCCAAAGGACCGGACGACGTGGACGGAGCGCGCTCCCGACGGTAGCGATTCGCCGCCTACTTTGCTTGTTGGCCGTTACGAGCCCGAGCAGATAGAGGAGTCCGATCGGAGAAAGAGGAGGAAGATAGCCGCGTTCGATATGGTACAGACCAGCTCTCTCCCTTAACTTCTCTCGTTCGCCCGGTTTCGACGGATAGCAATCGTGCTCAAGGTTAACGGTTAAACCAGGATTCGACCCTGATCACCACGGTATCAGGCAAGAAATTTACAGACGACCCTAGCGATTGGAAGTGGTGGGACTCCAGCGTGCCGTCCCGGTTACAAGAACTATACGCAAAAGAGTACGCGACTACAGCTGTAATATCTCGCTAGACTTATCACGCTTACACGTCTTAGCTGTCGAGTGGTGATTCTCAGCAACCAAGGCGGGCTAACGCTGCACCCGGATCCGAAGTCTAAAGCCCCGAAGGCTGGTAGTAAAGTCAAAGTCGATAAGTTTAAGCAGAAGTGTAGCGCAGTGCTTGCCCAGCTCGATTTGCCCACCACCGTATACGCTGCTACCGGCCACGACGGCTTTCGCAAGCCACGCACTGGCATGTGGTCAGAAGTTTGCCGGGATTACGGCCTACGCGAGGACGAGATTGACCTTGCGGGTAGCATTTTTGTGGGCGACGCAGGTGGCCGGACGGCGCAGCTGAAATCCGGTGGAACGGGAGTGGCCGCTGCGAAGGATTTTAGCTGTTCGGACCGTAACTTCGCGCATAACGTTGGCATCCCCTACATGACGCCCGAAGAGTTCTTCCTTGGTGAGCCGTCACGAGAATTCACGAGAGATTTTAACTTGGCCTCTTTTCCATATCCCGAGGGGGAGGGGGAGGGGGAGGGGGAGGGGAGCAATAGTGATGGAAGTAGTGAGGTCCTATTCGAGAAGACTAATAAACAGGATATCGTACTGTTCTGTGGACCGCCTGGCGCTGGAAAAAGTACGTTCTACTGGCGAAATTTGAAGCCGCTAGGTTACGAACGTGTGAATCAGGATACTCTGAAGACCCGGGCCAAGTGCTTCAAGGCCGCCGGGGAGTTCCTAGGCGAAGGGAACTCAGTAGTCATTGGTAAGCGACTTTGTCCCTTGTGCATATCATACCAATCCTCCCTCCGTCTATTTTCTACTGTAAACAACCTATGAATACTGTTTGCTGAGAGGAATGCCTAAAGACAACACAAACGCCGATACGGACGGTAGAAAAGAATGGATCGAATTCGCGCGCAAGAACAACGTGCCGATTCGCTGCGTCTGGTTCAAAGTGCCCAAGGCGCTGTGTGAGCATAACGACGTCGTCCGGGCTCTCAACAAGCCGGTATGTACACTCGAAATATAAAAAATATTCATCTTCACTACCCTACCTGTAAGAACATTACATGGTACACAGAGAAATTGTTGCTAAATAAACTATAACTGCAGATGAACCCAGAAGCCCGCGCGGCGCTTCCCGGTCTCGCATTCAATGGATACTTCTCTCGCTTCAAGGAACCAAAAGCCAAAGAAGGGTTTCAGGATGTAGTTGAGATTGATTTCAAGTTCCGCGGCACGAAAGAGGAATATGATATTTGGGGGCGTTACTGGCGATGAGATTGGGATACCTTTGCCTAGATTCAAACATTTAGTAGTAAAAGGCGTCAGGCCGACACGAATAGCACTAGAAGACTATTACAGTCCAGGGATGATTTTATAGCAGGTACATTTTATAATCGATTTCCCACAGGCTACATCGTACATAGATGTGGAAATCTACATAAATGATTCAAGCACGGTCTTCGATACCAACGATCCATTTTTCACAGACAAATGATCTACATTCCAACCCATCTACGGAGGGCTATAAGGTAATTTACATAACCATCCTATTGTATTTTGTCTCTTAACAACATCGTACACATACATCATAGCAAAGGAAAATAAGGCAACTTTATCCTCCACACGACCACGGGGTATCCCTATTTCTCGCGAGCTGTCGTCTCGGCTATCATCTCCTCGTCCTCATTCTTCCATGCCCCGTACGATGAACCCCGAAGCGCCAAACTCATGCTAAACCCCTTTATGGCGACCGCACAAAAACGTAACTCTTTTGACGCACCTCCAATGCTGGGAATTAATTTCAGTTGAACCTCCCCGCCTTTGCATAAGCCATGGATATGTAACATAGAATATGGGACCCCTCATAGGTGTAGTTGATTCACCTGAACAGTTCGTCCCATCAGGAGGTCATGGCTCGATGCTCTCCATGTCGTTCATCATCGAATGCCATCAAATTATAAATCATCAGAAGCATCGAGCAATACAGCTTGCCCGCCATTCTGCTCTGTCGCCGAATTCACAACGTCGTCTGTTTGTCATACTCGCACGGGTATAGCTGCATTTTATACCCGCCAAGACGGAGCGGGGCCTCAACCGAACAAAGCAGCGCCGCCTGTCTCGATGGCCTCAATCTCGACTGCCGTGAGGGGAACGCGGCGGAAGCGCTCGGGCAGCTGGTTGCGGTCGAAGTAGATGCCCTTCGGAGGTTCAACGGGGCCGAGGCGGGCGGCCGACTGAGCGCCAATGCCACCGGCAGCGCCAATGGTCTTACGTAGAGGACCGTGCTGCTGAGCGTGGTCGCGGTACGTGGAGAAAGATGTGTGAGAGTTGCCGCTGCTGCCGAAGTCAGACGGGAGGGCACCGCTGGGGGAGGCCGGGTGCGGTTGCGGGGTGTGGTCTACATTTTCTACGGGAGGGAATCGGTGTTAGCAAGAGAGTGAGCTATTAAGTTGAGGAGGGGGGCATTAAACCCGGCCTCTTCTTAATATTTCAAAGGACATACCAGGAATGGATCGCTTGCCGATGAAGCGAATCAAGGGAGTGCGCTCGGCGTGTGCTGCCGCTTGGCGTAGAACTCGTGTGGCATACATCGCGATTGGGAATGAGAATATAGGACGTTTGTTTTCTAGGGTGGGAGGACTTGAATGAGGGAAATATGTCAAGAATAGCTTTGCCTCGGCTTTATGAATTAGTAGCGACAGAGATAGTTTTATCTTAGCGAAGTTCGGACTTTCTGGTGGGGGAAAACGCGAAGGTTGGAGAAGCTGAGTAGAGCAACCAGACGATATTGAGTACAATAAGCTTTTAGATGATGATGTTGGATGAACTTTCTTCTCTGTTGGGTTTTTTCTTCCTCTTGTCTGCTTATTATTAATGGAGCACGGAGGAGTGGCTTTGATCAGAGATTGAGCAAGAGGAGAACGCAATAAGGTGTCAGTCAAATCTTGATATTTCCGAGTTCCAAGTCGAACTTAAATTGTGGGATGGGATAGTTAATAGGACTAGTCACTCCGACTAAGTGAGCCTAGTGTGTTAGCGTGCTGTAGTGTGCTTAGGACGAGCGGCTGTCTGTGGAAGGAACGCTAGATGGGGGAAACCGGGGGGGTTAAAGCTAAAGTGCCTGGACGATTAGTGATTTACTGCCTAGTTTAGTACCTAGGCAAGGAGCTACTAGCTGGGTAAGCAAGCTGCAAGTCGCTGTGATTGTTAGTATTATCATGTATTATCATGCTGCCATCGTACCACTTCCGGAGCTATCGGTGGAGACCGATCTTCACATGGCCAGGTAGCTCTAGCGATTTTCGGACTTTTTTAGTTTTTGTGCCCAAATGCAATTGCCAATATTTTGAAGCGCCTTTCTTTCTTTATTCTGATTCGTAATCTCGGGGCGAGATCTTTCCATGCATACGCTACCACCTACTGCATATCCCACTCGTTTGTGAAGCCGGGTCCTTCATGCCAATACCATAAGTCCGTTAAACCTCTATTCATTCCTCTCGTCTTTCACAATACCTACTTTGAGGTATTACCTTACGTGTAGAAGTTGTATAAACAACGTCACTTGCACAAATTTACAATCCTACAGGTCTAGAATTATATCATTACAAGCCATCACCATCGCCGCCGCAATCTATCTAGGATGGCACAGATCTCTTAGGGTTCGTAACGCAGACCCCTCCATGTATATTATCACCGAATATAGGTAGATACTGAAAATCGTGACGTAATGGGTAATTACTCGGAAGACACAATATACAAACTTATCGCGTTCGTCGATTTAATGTTGGTAGTTGATATTTCACGAAGTCAAAGACCAACACTACTAGACATCAACCGTATGAAGTTGAGCCTCTGGGTATATAGCAGGCTGATAGTATACATACACACGCGTTTAGACGTGCATGAAGATGCGACATCCTAACCAACCTTACATGAGCTGCACGACTAGGAACCACAAGACCCTCGTGGGTAACTCCGGAACCGCGGGGATGGGGGATGTCTGCCCACACTGGAGACGTATGCATTGGGGGTTCTGGGGGTTTGAAGCTTGAACCAATGTCATTCGTACCTCCCATTCGTCCGTCAGAGCGTCGGAGATAACGTCTAAACTTCGAAATGGTTCCATTGAAAACATTCAGGCTTTACATGTGTCATATGATCTATGTAATACCTTCCTCTCCCACTCGACCGGACGCTGGGCTCTGGGGGATGAGGTATTGCATGTCATGTCATACCATGCCATGCCGTGCCATACCATTGCATCCTTAAATATTCTTATAGGATTTCATACCCTCAAGTTCTCCGACGTTCCTTTGGGTGATTCGCCAGGCCTATTCATGCGTACCGTGAATAAATCCTATTTAGTAACCTTAGCTATCAATAAGCTTTGTAGCCACAGGTCAAGTCTTACCAGCAAGTAGTAGATCATTAGGTAGGATTATACCATAGAAACGAGCCTAAAACGAGCCTTTATGAAACTATCGGAAGATATGTCGAAGTCCCAAGTTCAGATTATGACTTGCTACCACCCGAAAACTCATTTAGCGTTTGGCGCATCGCAGACTCTGGCTGGTTCGCATAGACACGGCCACCGACCCCATTGACAATGTGAGTAATCTCGCTACCAGACACTCCGTTTAACCACACAATAGTCATGTGATGCAATTTGACGCCCTCGGCCTCCGGAATTTCGATGGCGTTCTCCAGCTTTGTAGGGGAGTCCCGGAAGTACGAATAGATGCCTAGCCCCCAAGCTTCGTGGTTCGTCACACCGTCGGCGACCTTGTACGAGGCGAACCCGTTGGCCCTCCCGTCTTTACTCATCCACGACTCCTGGTTAGGGGGGTCATAAGGGATTTCAGACTGGTAAAAGTATAGACGGCCATTGTTTCCGTTCCAGACTGTCTGAAACTCCTTGTGATGCTCGTTAAACAACCCATATATCGTCACGTTGTCGCCGTTAACTACCACGCCGTTGTTCGTAGGGTTAACGTCCCAGGCCGCACCGTCGCCGTGATCCGCCCGCCACAGCCAAAGCTGGTCGCCGACTACGTTGCAGCTATTGATGGTGATGCCGACCTCGTTCTTGGCGTGACCGACCGTTCGTATCGTCAAGTCGTAGAGAAACGTCGGGTTTGGTCCGTGATCGGCTGAACTATTCGACGGTCCGACCTCGACGAGAGTTGGTGAACTAATCTCGCCCGCATCAATTATGAGACCCGCGAGCGTCACACCGTCCACGTCGGCAACGGTTATAACTGGTTGGCCGCATGTTGGAATAAGCGAGGGTAGACCCAGCCCAAGGACGATGGTGTCCGCCCGGGAAACGCGCAAGGCGTGGTCAAGTTTGTAAATTCCCGGTGCGAAGATGACGTGCTTCCCAGAATCTAACGCCGAGTTGATACTTGCCGCACTAGACGTGGAGGTCTGAGCAATGTAGAATTGATCAATAGGGATAGACACGCCAGCCGTTGAAGACCCATCCGTCCAGCTAGGCCCTTTTGTGTTGGTCTGCAATGCAGGCACGAAAACTTCATATTGGCCCTGAGCTGTGATGTAAAGGAAAGGCTTCTCTCTCATAATAGGAGTCCGATCCACGGTAGTATATGGGGAAGCTGGGAAGTTATCTTGGCTAGGTGCACTAGAGTCACCGACGAATACCATATTCCACACGGCATTAGCCCAGCTACCGTATTTATTATTGCGTGATAGCCATTGCTGCTGGGAGCCGGGAAGCACCTGGTTGTCGACTACTGAATCGGCCATGAACCCTCCGGAGGCCCAACCTCCCGCTCCCGTGCTCGGGTCGACCTGAAACAGCCAGAGACCGTTCGAGCTTCGCACATGCATGCGTCGAAGTGGCGCGGCTTGTGACACCGCAATCGTCGTGGTGTTATTAGTGGCCGCCGAGGCGTTAATAGAAAAATTCTCGAATGCTCGCCAAAAGTTACACGTGGCGTTACGGTTCGGCATCCAGTAGGCCGGCACGTTAGCACCGCCTTCAATCAACACATCATCTGGATTCCTGCCGAGCCCAGCGACCTGCGTGTAGAAGCCTACATCGAATAGTATGTTGTAGACTCCTGGCTTAAAAAGAAGAGCATACCGCTCCGTACCAAACTCATTAGCTTCCATCTGCTTGAAGATGGCTGTTACTTTATCCTGGATATTAGCTGCGGGCATCTTCGGATCGAAGACGTAGACGTTAGGACCGAATATAGTTGCATTTGCAGCGGTAATAGAGCTGTTATCAGCGATGATAGGAACTATCCGCTTGGAAACTGAAGAAGAGCCAAGATCATTCCAATAACCCTCTGTTACTAACTTGAGGTTGTCTGTAGTGAACTCTTTGACGCCCCTCTCTTCTGCACTCGTACGAGTCGTCGTCGCCGGCGTCTTCCCCGTCTGGCCTATTGGAGCATCCGGGAGCTCATGGTGACATAACTCCCTCTTCACAAGGCATCCCTCGACTGCCCATCTTGGCACGACATCCTCGTAAATGACGTTCTTCTCCCGACGCATCATCTCTACTAGCTCTTCGCAAGTCCTATTGTGTATTTGGCTATCACTAAATAAGGTACCCGCAAGCCCCTTGATGCTACTCGTTACTGCATAATCAGAGCATCGCCAAAGCAAGTAGTTCAGGGCTTCCTCGATGCTCGGCACGGTAAAGAACCGGGCGTCAAAGTAGACGGTACCGAACAGAAGCTCGACCCCGCCTTGAAGTTGGTCTCTGAGATCTGGGGTTAACGCAGCTACAAGGTGCGCATTAAACCGTACGCTACAATAACCAGCAGCCAGAGATGCGAGCTTCTGCACCGGCTGGGTAAAGAGCTTATCACCTCTCGGAAACACTAGCGTGATTTCGTCAGACTGTGTGTAAGCGACAGTAGCATCGGGGAAGAAGTTTAGTAGAAAGTCAGAGCAAGTAGCAATCATGGCATCGTGGACGCGCTGGTCAAAGGGTCGCCGAAAGTATGTCTGGGCCGTGAGGCGCGAGAAGCAGTGGCCATCTAGACGCAGAACGATCGGAGACGAGATAGGTAGCGTCAAGTCGAATGCGGCTTCATATTGCTTCATTCGATTTGCGAGAGCCATTTTTACAGAAATATGTATTATAAGAGAATATTAAGGTTATCGTGATTTGTTGAAAGAGCAGGAGAGTATACCTACCTTAGGTACCTTAGGTACATAACCTTATGTAGGCAAACAAAAGTTAAAGCAGCGGTGATGTCAGTTTTATCGGCTCGGGCCGTTTTAGCTCTACCCGATGGACCCACCAAAGTCCGGACTGGCCGTCCGTGCACATCGGGCTCTCTTCTCAAATTATGGCCTCATCGTGACCGTCTATATCCATGCCTTCTTCCATCGTATCGATTGTAACCACACGTGTTTCCTCATCATCATTTCTTCTTAGAAACCAGCCCATATGGAACATTCTATTACTAAAGTACCCGTTGAACCTTTCTCTGTCGCCCATTAGGAATCCTCAGGTAAGTTGTGCAAAAACATTGAGTCGGCAAACAGACTAGCCGCGGCAATGCTCCCGAGAGACTTGGGAATGGCATAGCGATAGCCAAGTAAATGGTGGTCCTGATGCCGGATTTTTGAATGGTCGTATATCGCTTAACGCTTGGGCACGGAAGATACCATGATGTCTTTTAACGGCTCTGACAACATCTTCACTATGCGTCTCGTCCCCGAGCCACTCCATAGGTATAGCGTATCGTGAAGTGGTTATAACCGGTAGTAGGCCATCAGAGTGAGGTTTCTCAAGCCTCCATCGTGGAGGAATTAAGTCAGTTAGATAGGAGTATAGACTTTTAGGACTTGGTTGAATTGGGGAGGTTTGGTAGAGTGCTCATTTGTGATGGGTGGATGGCTATCTTTAACTTCGAGCTTGTATTTAAATACCTAGGGTTATAGAAACATTGACTTCCTGAATGGTTTCGTAGTAAGCAAGAGATGCCGTATATGTAGTCGCACTCCTCGGGTGTTCGGCACAAAGTCCTCAGGCATAAACAATATAACTACTATATTCATAAGAAAAGTTATTTGAACTTGTTGTAAATATTTCTGGCTTTCCAGAGCATATAGATAGATTGGTTGAAGGGCGACTCATGTTAGCTTTCGATATCAAATTCAATAGAGGTAATACCTTGTGAAAATGAACATTTTAGTGCTGCCCTAACTGCTTATATATCGGTAATAATCATGGAGTCGCTGTTGAGCGAAGATGAATTGACCAGATTTATACGAGGAAATACTAGGTCCTCATATGTCCAAGGGGCGCATAATAAAACGATTGCTTTAGAAGCGAGCAAAGTAAGATAGCAATCTTTTAACGAGCGCCAGAGAGTTTTGATCCTCAACTCGTCAGTGAAAGATACAAGAAGGCTGCTCGAAGTAGAAAACTCTTTTGCACGTAGGGCAACGAATTGTCCATGTAGGTACCTACATGGCATAGCTAAGAAACGTACACGGGAAAAGCGCTTGGCCGCATCTCTCCTCACACATCTATAAGGACTCCTTTAAGAGTAAAGAAGTCTCCTTAGACTATGGCATCTAATAAGTTAACACGTGGTTATAACCAGGGGTTATAGAAACCACGTGATTACTACGTGATATATTAGTCTAGTATTGCTTCTATATTTACAATTGATGCCGCTTCATCGAATCTACGCCCCCTGCTCTATTTTCTACTCTATCCTGCGATCTATTTGGAGATCTCTACACCGCCTACCGCCCCTAATGCCTTTTTTATGTCGCCATAGATGGCGAACTGCCCAGCAGTTAGGGTGCCTACCATGAAGAGACGAGCACCGATACCGCTGTAGGATCCGCGGAGGCCGAGTTCCTTAGCAATCTTGATGAGACGGCTAGTTGTGCTCTCACCGGGGAGACCCTTGCTCTTGTTGATCTTGGACAGCATAGTGTCGGCGGGCTGGGAGACGATGGCAGCAGCAAAACCGGCGATCAGACCAGATCCCAGGTTGACGGTGGTTTGCAGACCATCAGACATCTTGTCCTTGGGATATTGTCGGTAGATAGCCTCGGCGACCTTCTCGTAAACAACGAACTTGGCCATGGTGTAAGGAACCCTGTATGTTGGGTTAGTTTTGTTCGATCAGAGTCTCAGATGTATAGATGCTTACTGCTTGAACAGGATAGGGCCGAAGCCGGCATAGAAAGCACCGACACCCTCCTGCGAGAGAATCTTGCTGAAACCGCTCACAAGGCCGCTGGCGTAAGTTGGCTCGGAAACGAGACGGATACGGGTGGCCTCGAGAGGGCAGAGGGCAATGTCGGCGAAGAATTCGGCGAACGCGGACGAGACAAGGTAAACGCCGGTTCGGTATTGCGAGGCATTCTCAAGGCCGAGAACGTTGATCGACTGCTGCTTGAAGAATTCATATCCGCCGAACTTGAAGGCGCCCTGGAGGAAGTATCCAGCGAAGGTAGGGCCGACACCGGTCAGAAGGGCACCAGCACCCTCGTTTTTGACGACCTGACGGATACCGCCAATGAGACCTCGGTTGTATGTGACGGGGTCAAGCTGGATTCTGGTCTTCACGCTATATATAATCCGTATTAGCTGAGGAAGTTTGCGCATATAATTATAGCCGGAGGGCAAGTGGAATGAGGTGCAGATTGAGTGCCGTAGGTTCGGAGGTACGCCAACAGAGGGGAAAAGGACCATAACACCTACACATCGACGGGGGTGAGCGAGCCGTGGGTGACGGAGCAGCAGATAGCGCCGGCAAGGGCGAATTTGGAGTAGAGAGAAAGACTGCTGTCCTGAGCAGGCGCATTAACGGCCTTTGCGGCAGCCATTGCGAATACTGGGCGGAGACGAAAATGGAAAAGAAAAATTAGATTGAGAGGAGAGTTTAGAGGAAATGACAACGAATGGTCAAATCGTGCACGAGAGAGGCCCAATTGGTGATGCCTTAGTCGAGGATTTGTGCTGCTTTGAGGCTTTTTAGAAGTGGAGGAACAGGAAGAAGCCGTCGTGTGTGTTGACTCCAGAAAAAAAGAATTAACAATTTGGCCGGAAGATGGCGGAAAGAGTGGGGCGGTAGGACGAAGAAAACCTATCAAAGCGGGTCGATAAGGATGGCTTAGGGAATATTTCGGGTGTTGATTCGCCGATAAGTCCGCCTAAGCCACAGCACATTATCCAGCAAGCCTCGCCGCTTAGCGCTTTGGACCACTGAGGATGGGTAAAGGAACCACATGTTAAATCGGGTATTAGATGCCATTTAACCGCGATGCGGCTGACATTATCATACACCCTCCTTTAAGCACCTACTTAGGTCCTAGGTAGGTGTCAATTTTCTGCACATAATTATTTTAGACTCTCGAATCTATCATATCATACCGTATCACTACTGCGATTAGAGAGTAGCAGATGCTGCCCCGAATGTGTATCTGCCGCCACCCGGGATAATCGCCACCCGGGATAATCGCCACCCGGGATAATTAACGACTGGGGTTGAGGGCCGTATCTGACTTGAGCTTATCGCCGCCAAACACCACGGGCTGGGACATCAACTCTTATATATTTCATTAGTACTGCCACAATTTTTTCGACCAATCAGATACTTAGAATCGCCCCGCAGTTTGCGACTTTTTCCTTTGCCATTCTATCGCATAAGGTCTAAAACACATGCAAATAGGATAGAAAGGTCATGCAAAACGAGCTCTATCCAACGATACCAATTATTAAAAATTTTATACAATAATATAGTAGGTCAATTGATTTTACAAAAAATTCATCGGACGTGCGCTAAGGTGTGGCTAGCCAATCAGAGGCCAGACTTATATGTGGCGTAAAAGGCACTCTTGAAGCTAGGCACTCCCCGTAAGCGCCTGCGCGAACGGGTAACGCAGCTAGTATGCTATATTGTCTTACCTCGGACATTTTGGCGTTATACGCATAGCTTACTAAACTTGGGCATCAACGGACTTCATGTAGAGTATGCCAACACATGTATTGAGGACAAACATGGTCTCTTGAAAGACCTCCGCCGTATATTGACATGCGATTCGGGCCAGTAAATTCAGGATAGGGCTCGTATGGTCCTGAGAATTAGAATATCTTAGGTAGGTACTTAGGTAAGTAATGGTAGCGCAACTAGATCTATATTTGTTAGATACGCTTCGTATTACTATATCGTCTCATACGTGTCTCCGGGAAAAGTAGATTAGAGAACTACTCTTGTCCATATACCTCTCTATACCTTAGGTATCAACCCTACCTAGTACTAATCTAATCAACTTTGGGTCTAATTGAATAAATTGAAGGAAACTTATGAGAATTATATAATGGCAGGTTAGGCGCCTAAGGTATCAGGTAAGTGATAGAAGGTAAAGTGGTTTCCCGTTTAATTACCATCTAAGGCGCTTAAGGCATTGCTAAATTAAACATGAGAGGGGATACATTCAGAAGTTACACGACGGAAGCTGTTACCAAAGGCAATCACGTACGTTACTACCTAGGTACCTATTATTAACCTCTAGCGGTAAATGCCTGTAATTCAAACTTGAGGTTCTTCGACGCAGTTGGCGCATTTCCCACCATCCAATTTCCTAGTTGCACTTGATCAAGGAATCAACAACGATTCACAGACTCAACGACTCACAGACTCTACGCTCGAGTTGATTAATTATCCTCAATTCCTTCAATATGCAGTTCACAACCATTGGGATCACCCTCGCCTCTTTGGCGTCTGCGGTGGCCGAGGCTCATCAAGGCTACGTTACCCCTGGCGAGACTCTGGTTAAGACCTCGAGCGAGTCTTTCAACCCTTACCCGAATACGACACAGACTGGGCTACCGACAGAGTCTTTCTCTCATTTCCCGACTATATCCTTTGCGCCTTACCCCAGCGCATCCGCAACCTCCTCTGTCTCTTCCGCCAACCCCGTTCCCGGCATCGGCAATGGCACCCCCGTCAAAGATTTTCGCCTCCAGTGCGATAGCGACAGCTTAGGACTAGTTCAGTCTCAAATTAGACCCGGCATCTATTATCTTCGAGGCACCTGCGGCGGCTTATACAACGATGCTCATGCGTCACGCTGCTCCTTCCTAGACCTCAGCATGTAAGCAAATCACACCACTCACAAATACTCCTTAATCCGTACGGTACCAGGTATACTGATAACTAAAGGTGTTACACTAATGATGGGGGAAACATACGCCCTCAGAGGATGGGCCACTTCCTAGATTCATGCGATAGATGCGTCTTATACACGTCTCGAGGCACGAATATGCTGGCCTGTACCTGTGCAAAAGGCGACCACAACGGCGGCGGAACACAAGAGACCGCAGTTCAGCTAGGTCAGTTTGGTTAAGGTCTGGCGAATGGAACCAGGTAACAATGTTGACTTCTGATTTTAGACAACCTCCTATACGTGAAAAACGGCTTCCTAAGCTGCCACGGCTACACCAACTTCGAGTGCCCGGAGGCCAATGTGCCTTTTTAAGCTTTTAGTATTCGGTATCTGGCAAACACGGAGGCGAGAAGGTAGCTTATTACCATGTAAATAGCGCACCGGGCATCTTGAACATGCTTCCTAGTCGAGTGATAATCGCCTACTTATATGAAGAATAGTTAATAAACTTGATCGATAAGTTTCATAACAGTAGCTCTATGAGGAACACTCCGTAGTAGCGAAATGATAAAATAGGGATGGGTAGTCAGTCCTTTTCAAAAAGTGACAATTCGCCGAAACAAACATTAGCAATGGATTTATCATATGATCTGATGTGGAGATAATAGCCAGGGGGAAATAATTCTCGAGACGCAGCTAGCGATTCAATTCAAGAATGAAATCCCATCAATAGATTTATGGAGTCGAATGTTTGAAGAAAAAACGCATTACTGCCAAAAGTCTAGGATTATTCAGTAGAGTGGTAATTATTTGTAATATGTTTCTTCTAACATGGATACCTCTGGTAGGTATGGATGTAGGTAGGTAAACCTGAAGACTCGTCCGATAGTAATAAATACTTGATTAACCACCTAGGTAGCAACCTAGGTAGCAAACATATTTGCAGACATCCTTATATTAAACACTTCGTCACGATAGAAAATTTTATTCGACTATGGATTTATCCTCCCCTTTTCTTTCATTCCTCGTACGATGCGTTATTAATAGGTAGGTATTACGAGGTGGAACTAGAAGGCATGGAAACAACTTGGCTGTCGTGACACCGGGAATCGCTCCTCTATGTTGAGGGATCCATGCTTACTAAAGTATACTAACGCCTTTTAAATTTGATAATGAGGTGAACTGGCGGGTCAAAAAGGTAGATAACTTGGGTAATCTTCTTCTCATGTGTTTGATGCAGATATTACGTACATAGATATTACGTACATGCACTTTTAATATCAACAAACTTTGACGGATGTTCCCGCGTTGCAACTGGTTCATCGTTGAGTACATCTCGAGCCAAGCTTCCCCAATTGACCTTCTATGATCAGCAGAGCGATGATGAGGAGGCTAGAGAGGGGTTACGAAGCATGTCGGGGAAGCCGGCGTCATTGATGTAGTTTCACGCTCAGATACTAGTAGCAGGTTAGTGGGTTAGTGGGACTCCCGGCGGTATTATTTGGCATTGCCTTCGACTCTTCTCATTCTATTGCTTGTGGATTTGACCGAAGAGGCGGAGTTATATCCATTGTCACGACACTAAATTATCTGATACATGCAACTATTATCTGATTGTCCACGATAGGAAATGTCTCCTTAGCTAAGGGCATAGGTAGTTAGATCGCATAAATGGGGACGCGCTGTCGTAATTGCCCATTAGCCTTACTTTTGGGGTCAGGTTCTTTCTTGGAAACATGGAAGAAGACTTCCAGGGATATAAGCTAAGATGGAGGGTTGCACGGCATAAGACACGGCAGGAACGTTAACCAATAAGATTACGTGATCTACAAGAAGGATCGACTAAGGCCTTCGCTACTATGACGACCTTTTTTCTAAAAACCGTATTTATTCCTAGCCTGCCTGATCCCAAGTACCTACCTACCGCTCTATACGCTCCCTCCATCGCACTATACTACGAAGAGAATTCGGGCCTCGGGCTAATTGCGGCCTCTCCACACTCCACACTCTACGACTCCACAGAACTCCAAAGGGGGCTCGGGTCTCTCTCCACACCCCGGATTCCTTAGCCCCTAAGGGTTAGCTTAAATGGGGAATTAGCAACAGTGGAGCGGTGGTGGTTGCTAGGGTAGAATGCGAAATCTTTGGTAAGGGTAAGATATCAGGTATTAGGTATTAGGTATCAAAGTAGCAAGGTAACACCGCCGTTCAACCGTGACCGCCTCGGTGGGCGTAAGAAACCCTAGGGAGCTGACAATTTATATTAATAAATAGTAAGGTGCGGCCCTTCGTCAAGACAACTCCCGAGTTCTCGGCTCAAGACACCTTCCACCATTTACTGTAGGGACACAATTGTAGGGACACAATTCCTACCGTGACACCCGTGACCACTTGTAGTCTTGCCAAGATCGCCCCCTTGGGCTTTTTATAGTAGTTATACCGGTTCGCGAATTGGCAAGATGGGCTTCAAGGAGTTCGTCAAGCGGCGCTCTTTTCGTGCCAGGGACGACAAGCGCACGAAGGCGGCCGAACTGACTCTCCGAGAGTCGCTCTATCCCATCTGTCTCGTCACGGTTCTATTCTTCCTCTGGGGATTTAGTTACGGTATGTAACCATGACCCTTGCGCGACAATTGGTGCTGGGTTATACACATATACGATGGCGCATAGCATCCTAGCTAACTTATCGTAACTAGGTCTTCTCGATACGCTGAACAAGCATTTCCAAAACACACTTGGTGTTACTAAGTCGCGTTCCTCCGGTCTACAAGCCGCATACTTCGGGTACGTCTACCTCGCATGAGAGACACGTGCGGAATCATCGCTAATCGTCTAGCGCAGCGCCTATCCTCTCGCCTCTCTCGGTCATGCCAACTGGATCTTGCGTCACTATGGCTACCGGGCTACGTTCATATGGGGTTTATGTCTATACGGTACGTGACACCTTTTGTATACATATACATACGGTACCTATATATTAGAGTATGAACTCGTCTCGACTGACTAGAAGTATTATAGGTATCGGTGCGTTGATCGCCTTCCCGTGTATCCAGGCGAAGTCTTTCGCTGGGTTCTGCATGGCCATCTTCGTTATTGGTAATGGTCTTGGTTCCCTCGAGACCGCTGCGAACCCGTACATTACCGGTAGGTCCTATAGCTACCTATATAAGGGGTGGTGATTATACTTACATATATGAAAAGTCTGCGGCCCGCCTCGATATGCCGAGATACGCATCAATATATCTCAGGCCTTCAACGGTATTGGAACCGTAGTAGCTCCCGTGCTGGGCTCCTACGTCTTCTTCAATTTCGACGACGTGACGGCGCTGCGAAACGTGCAATGGGTATACATTGCGATTGCCATCTTCGTATTCGTGCTCGCCTTTGCCTTCTTTCTCTCCGACATTCCTGAGATTACCGACGCCGACATGGCATACCAAGCCAACGAGACCCACGCCAACGCTGATGATAAGCCTTTTTGGAAGCAGTACCGACTCTTCCACGCCGCCTTTGCTCAGTTCTGTTACACCGGCGCTCAGATCGCCATCGCCAGCTACTTCATCAACTACGTACGCGATACCCAGCCCCTTGCCGACGATTCCACCGCTTCACGCCTACTTGCCGGCGCCCAGGGTGGCTTTGCTGGGGGTCGCTTCTTCGGTGCGATCTTGATGCGATATATCCGCCCGCGCTGGGTATTCCTAGTCTTCCTGACTTTGTGTGTCGTGTTCATCGCACCGTCTATCACAGAGCGTGGTTGGACGGGTATGTCGATGCTGTACGTGACGCTATTTTTCGAATCCATCTGCTTCCCAACGATCGTCGCATTGGGTATGCGCGGATTAGGCCGTCACACGAAGCGCGGCTCCGGCTGGCTAGTAGCAGGAGTGATGGGTGGCGCGTGTGTGCCTCCGTTGACGGGTGTCGCAGCCGATGCCCGCCAGACCGCGTTTGCTATGGTCGTCCCCCTGTGTTTCTTCGTCGCAGCCTCATCCTATGCTGTCGCCGTTAACTTCATCCCCGCGTATAGGGATCCCGCGGATGCGTTTTCGACGACTGAGGTTGGGCTGACACGCCGAAACCCTGGTGTCGATGAAGAGAGCGGTAACGAGACTGGTGTAATCGCCGATGAGAAGGTTGCCCACACTGAGATTGAGACGTAGTTACCGTCTATCCAGAATTTGGAGGTTGGTGGATTGTAAGGAAAGGAATGTTGGAATGTGAGCTTGTGTTGAGTTCTACTTCGCTGTTACAAGAGGCTATACTCAGGTAGTCTTTGGCACGGCACAAGCTCGTTCTTTAATACAAACAAATCTTACAACCTGTGGAAGGTATTGTCCCATTCGATTTTACCTCTATTAGATGTGAACATGACAAAATGCTTCGCCTTAGATGAGTACGTTAATGAGAGAAGGTCCCATATGCATGCACCATGCTAATATCCATCCCCAGTATAAACGACCCTAGCAATTTTCCATCAGCGCCGAGTGCCCGCCCTAGAATCATATAGGAAGTATGTCAAATAACAGTAGGATCGTGTGGGTATAACCGATAAACGCCGTACGAGCTCCTCCCACCAAAATACGGTAAAAAGCGTTGTAGAGCAACCTCCCGTTTTAACCCTTCGACCAATACAGACCTAGCAACAATATACCCTCAAGTGTAAATTGTGTATAAGCCGTCCATCCCCCGTGATGGATATTTAGACTTCGGTCATATAAGTCAGCGTCGTAGTACAACGTATCTATGTGTCGTAACCCGGCGATGAGCTAATAGCTGAATTCTTTTTGTTGAGCCTCGCCGCAGTCTGCCCAACTGCAATATCTGGAGATCCATAATATCCATGTAGTTCGCTAATCTCGGCAAGCGTTCCTAGAGTGGCTGCTGTCGGTGTCACACCCTCACCGCGCGTCCCTCGCGAGTTCCCGGGTGGGTCGCTGGTCCGTCTGACTTGGCCCCTGGGAGGGCGCGTTGAGCTGTTAGACCGCCGCCTTGCCGCCTCGAGGGCGTCAGGACTGCCTAATTCTGATACGCCATGCGCGCCGACGATACTGCCGTCTAATTCGCTCGCGTCGCTCCATTTGCGCGCGTGCGTATGAGGTGTCTGCGAGTCGACGCTGGGTCGTGCGGGAAAGTACCCGTTATCGTGACGTGCGCCGTAGGAATCTAGACTTGACTGGCGACCGTCTGATGCGTCGGATCCTGGAAGCTGGGGGGAATATCCGGGCCAAGCGGGCGGCGTCGTGGAAGCATTGGAGCCGTAGTAGTTTGGCGTCTCCGAACGGGATTGCTCGCCAGCGGTGGACGAGTCGGATCGGGCTCGAAAGTGGGCGTTCCGGGTCCGCATGATAGAATCCACGTCCGTACCGTCGACTTCAGATACTGACAATTGTCCATAGCCCGATTTCTGCGAGCGCGGTTCGCCGCTGGAATTCCCGTGTCTGGACTTTGCCGCAGCTTTGGCAGCTTTCTCCGTCCGTTTAAGCCGCCATATAATAATCGCAGCGATGACGATTATGACAGCTAGCAATGCGATAGCACCCCCAACTATACCGCCAATCTGGGCCTGGCTGAGGCCGTTACCACTGCTGTTACCGCTACCACCGCCGCTACCAGTCTCAAGAGCTGGCGACTTAGAGACGGTACTGGGAATCAACTTCGCTACGCCAGCGGCTGTGGCAGACGATGTGTCCGATGGATCCGGACCCGGGGAGATGACTGAAGAGCTTGTGACCACTGTCGTAATAGTATTTCCCTTAGAGTTAGTAGTGGTTACCGTTTCGCTTACCGGAAGCGTTTTTAAGGAGGTTCCATAACAAGTAGCGCTTCCGCAGACCATCCCGTCTGGGCAACAACCGTACCCAAGAGAAGCTGCGCAACCAAACCACGATGATGGGCACGATTGCGAATATGATACTCCGGCCGGCGGCAAGCAGTCTTCTGTGTCGCGCCCGCAAAGAAAACCCACGGGACAACAGGCCCCTGCGCGAGGATGTAAGTATCTATATGACTCTAGACATATGCTTTAGATTGGTCGACTTACCTGGACCAGCTGTTAATGGACAGTTATAATATCCTGTTGTTCCACATGCAGACGTAGGTCCCGCCGTTGTGGCATAACAGGACGATATGGCGCAGGCATAATTTTCGGGACAACATCCACCATCTGCGGAAGCAGGACATAGCGTGAAGCCTGATTGTTGGCAAGTAGCTTCGCGTTTTGGGTGGCGCAAGATGTTATGATTCTTTTCCAACTGGTGGATCTGATATCTATTGTCGTGCATAGCCGTCGCGGTTGGAGCCAGAACTGCCAAAACCGCCAACCCAATGCGGGCCATACAATTTTGAAGTCCTCCCATTGCGAGGCTTTTCAGATTCGACGTTTTCGACTATCAGATACCTCGAGCAAACTCCCAAATGCATGAGATGTCACCGGATTTAGAACCTCGGCACCTGGCCTCTCGTGTCGTAGCACCTCGAGGGGACTCATGTAAGTGTGCTTAACCTTTGACTTTGAGACGGATGACTCGCGTACGAGATCGTCTCTCTACAGAGTATCTCTATGAGGTAGTAACCAAAAACCACACCGATATAACTGAAGATAAAAGGTAAAAACCACAAGTTGCAAGGGTGAGGCTCTGTTAGTATAGCGCCACGTTGGTAGAAAAAGATCCGATGATGGCAAGTAAGCACTACTTGGATGCTGGCTTACGAGCTGGCACCTCTCAAAAATAGCACTCTCTAACAAGCATATCGCCAAGATCGTGATGGTCCCATCAGACTGTGGTCATGGACACGCCAAGTGCGAAACTTGGAAGGGAGTAGATCGATACGATACGCTTCTCCAAGACGACAAGGGTTGAGGGGAATGGGCATGTCGAGATGGGATTCTGAGGAGGAGATCAAAAGATATTTGCTGGTGTCTTGGCCGCTGACCTGCAGCAAAAAGCGGGAGGGGGTCTTCTAAATGCAGCTAGTTCTATCAATTCTATTAGGTGCAGAAGGCGAACTCGCCATTCAGCTTGACGAGTGTGTCTCGTGGGTGCAACGTCAGCTTCCACAGCTGCATGGCTGGCCCCCAAGAAATGCACATCCCGGCCGCGAGGAGTCGAGGGGTCGGTTTCGGGACGCTCATGATTGGATCGAAGGTATAATAGGAAAGATGGATGCCCGCTACTTCTAGTATGTACGACTTGGTACAACTTCTTTGCCTACCTAGGTACCTAGATAGGTATTTGTGCGTTGCAGGCGTCTGCTTATTCGCGTTGAATGGTTATAACCAACATGGTGGGCAGTTTTCATAGAACTCTTGCTGGTTTACCCCAGGTCCTATAGGATATGCTAAGCCTAAAGGGTCAGGATCTACTTACGTATGTGACGATGTCTTACCAGATACCGGCTTGTTAAAGCCTACCGAGTGAAAAGCCTATCAAATTCGCGCGACTGGGGAACATCTGGTCTTAAATAGGGTCTCAGATGTGGTCTTTGACTTGCAGGTGACCTTGTCCTAGGGCTGATGGCTTGGTGTTTATATGCGTGTAGCACGGCAGAAGAATGCCGATAGCCTATATTTATGAGCGATCTTGGCGACATGTGGTATTGATTGATTGTTGATGATGGTAGACGGTAGACGGTAGAGATGGATGAGATGAAAGTTTAGAAGATACTTGCCAGCCAACATTGAACCTTTGCCAGCCGTTTTAAGTACCTACATTAGGTCCCTAAAGTACCTAGACAGCCTGCTAACCCAAGCTAACAGTTAGGAATTGGTACCAGATTGTGCCACATTCTTACGCCAGCGTGGTCGCACAGTGGCTTAGGCGTCGAATAATCATGGAATAACGGGATGAGCACCCGAGACATTTTCGTAGTACCTAAAGAAAATATAGATGAGGGGGAAATCCCCAGCTTCTTCTCAGGTTCACTTGTGCAACCGACAAAACACAGTAGCAATATTTCTACTTCTATATTTAAGCATCGGCAGAGACGAGCATGGTCCAATTAAACAAGACTCTATTCGCCGCGAAGACTCCGTACTATATTTACCTTATACATTACTCAAATTACAATTAGTCTATCAACCGTCAAAAATCTATAGATAACAGGACGGCTTGTTCCGACTTACAAAACGATGGAAGCATTGATATCATGCCCTTCTTCAAAGTTCATCGCGCCGACTTCAAATCTCGTGATGGCGATACGAGCCCTAAGGTCTAACCTAGCAAGCTGCTAAAGTAGGTAGGTGGGTATTTACCTAGTTAACGATACAGACGACCAATCACTTCGAATCGTATCTAGTGTCTTATAATTCAAGATGAATAAGTTCTGTATAGGTAACTACCTACCTAAGGTATCCAGGTAGGCGGTACTCTACTGCATTAATCCGTGGAGGCCGGGAATAGACGGCCGTCTCCCATCGCACATATTCCTTTCCTGTCCGTGTTATTAATCATATCAATAGGAGATGGTATCCTTTATACTACGAACTAGTTTATACTACGAACTAGTTTATACTACGAACTAGAATGATATTCCAAGTGCTGCGTAAAGTAAATCTTTTCGAGCTCGCCCGTGACAGATACCGGAGTCACGAAGTATAAGCGTCGACCAGACAAGGGCGTTTATTTAATTCAGGATAATAAGTGAGGCTCGATTCGGGTCTCCGTCGATTTTAGGCTTGACCTTTTCCTCTATCTCTGTCTTCCTAGTCGGGACTATTATGTAACAAGGCCATGGACTGGCTCTGACTGTATGAGTTCATCATCGAGAAGAATCAAGCGAAAGGGTCACTTTAATATGTACCTACAGGAACCGCCGATGCCCGTGTGTCAGTACCGTTGCAACCCCGCAAGCTGATTTTGTCGATCGTCAAATTTCTCCACATTTGCTTCGTGATGGGTTTCCATCCTGGCTATCCTGGTAGCCCCGGCCTGTTTAAAACTTGGATCTGCTACAGGTACTGCACTGACCCTGGGGCTTCTAGTAGTTCTAGACTTCATTTCCGACATGCCTAGGGACTCCAACTGTCAGATGTGTTCATTTCTACCCTTTTCGGAACCCGTCTCCGGCCATCGTCCTTCTTGACTAGGCTACGGACCTGCATCTTTCCCCACAACGTCACGATGGTGGCCGAAAACTGAGATCGAACTATGCTACCTAGGTTGTTGCTCCTTTCTACCCCGTTCCTTTCTATCCACCACCTCCTCTTGTCGGCTCGTCGGGAGTCTAACTAGCCTCTCAATCTACTCTGTTGCTATATCTCATACCGCTCTAATCTTGAATTATTGGGTACGCAGAAGATAGAATAACGCCTCAGCCATTCTGGCTCGAGTAGCATCTAATCGGAGGGGTAATGAGTCCATGTGGGGAGTACTATGACAAGCTACGAGACACGATATGAAATATGAAGGAATCGTAGTATAGCTTGTTACTGGCTAGCGATATGTTGCTGTACACCAAAGTCGCGCCCCCGAAGGTGCCAAAGAGGCGTTCTCGAGCAGGTCAGTTAGCTTCCACGGCCTCTTTTTCCTACTCGATTCTTCCTCTGCCTCGGTCTCAGTCTCAAAGCTAACCGTAAATTTGGTCTAACAGGTTGCACCTTTTGGTACGTGATATCCGGATCTTCGTTTGTCGCACCTCCGTCAACGAAATTGCTAATCTTTCGATATCAATGCAGCAAAGAGAAAGTACGACTCCTATCCTATAACCAACTTGTGTCCTGTAAACCTGAGTTGAAGATCTGTTCTGATTTGCTTTGCGGGAGAATAGAAGAAGAAATGCGATGAGAAACGACCGCGATGTGCACGATGCGTCGAAAAGGATCTTCAATGCACCTATGAGGCAGTGAGACCGCGCCAACGGAGAAAGAAGGATCCTTCGCAGTCTGGATTTATACAATATTACGGGAGGGCGCGCGAACCTATCCTAGATGATGATCAGTGGCAAGAGGCTGTAGCCGATGGTGTTTCCGAGTCCGATTGTCTCAGTCCTATAGATACCAAGTTTAACGACATGTCTCCAATGAGCTTTGGTGAAAGTGCGCTGTCTCCAGTCGATGTCAGCCCTACGGTTTACGAATACGACGGTGCAGATGATGGGGATCAAGTACAAGAGGTGGTGCGGAGAAATTCAAGCATTAATGTGGTCTCCCAGGCGCGATCTCTGCAGCCAGATCTCGCCATGATTGCTCCTTGCCCCGTCGGCTCCCCGACGCTCGAATTTGTTCTGCCAGTATTCTCAGAGTTTTCGGATCGTCCTAATCGGCGCGCCCTGGTCGACCACTTCTGCAATGTTCTGTCGCACTTGATAGTTTTCCGGGAGGAGTCCGGTAATCCGTTCCAACAGTTGGTCTTGCCGCTCTCGTCTAGAAGCGCCCCTATCATGAATGCCGTATACGCATTAGCAAGCGCCCACCTGGAGTACCGCGGAATTTCAACACCAGAAAAGTCTCTATACTTTCACAATCGAGCTATTCAAGGCTTGGCTAGGTTAATTGAGCAGGAAGTGAAGGTTGACAAGACTGAACTTCTTGCAGCCATCATGCTATTAGTATACTACGAAGTAGTAAGTATCTGCATGGTTAATGTGAGACCTGCATGACACGAGCTTACCAATTTGCAGCTCGTCCAGCGTGGGCGGACAAGTATAGTAGACGGACATCTCAAGGGAGCCCTAACTATCATGTCCTCTTCTCAAGGAGAGTCCACACCCGCCGGCCTCTTCTTGGAACGTGTAGGTTACGGTTATCAGGCCCTAGACGGCTATACTTTACTAACAAGACAAAGGCTTTCCGGTTCTACGATGTTATTACGGCGCTTTCGCTAGGATCGGCCCCTCTTTCGACGGCTCCAGCTGCTGGCTGTCTCGTACCATTCCCTCCCTTGGACGCTCGAGCGGTGTCTCCTCTCAGCAACGTTGATAGCTTACTTGGGATGGCTACTACCCTGTGGCCTATTATGCATCGCCTATCTAACCTGCTCTCTCTCAAGAGCGATATCGAGAAGGCATGCCAAGAAAATCAAACCTCCAAAAGCGCTGTCCTCAGAATGGAGTTTGAAACTACTTCTCAGGCTATCGAGACCGCTCTCGCGCAATGGGAGCCATTTCTCCCTCCAAATATCATTGTTGAGAATGGAGTGCTGAGAGGCTCTAGCGGCCGAGAAGAGATTCCGGAGCAACAACGCCTCCAATCCACCCTGCACAACTCCCTAGCCTACCGTCATAGCGCATTTGTATATCTATATCGTACTATATATGGGTACTCGCCACGTCGTGAGGTGGTACAAAAGCATGCCCACGTGGCACTCATACATTGCGTTGGAACAGTCACTCATAGAGGACCTATGGGGGCGTTGTTGTGGCCTTTGTTTGTAGCCGCGTGCGAGGCGGTAAGCGCAGAAGACAGAGCACTCGCCCGGGAGGCGTTTGTCGGGATTGATCAGCGCCAAGGTATGACCAACATAGGCCAGGCTTGGAATATCGTCCAAGAAGTCTGGAAAAGGATGGATGATATAGGCGACGATTCTTCTGGAGTTCATGATTCCGATTTATGGAGGAAGATTAGCGCTGAGATGGGAGTCAGCATCATTTTTGGCTGACATCGGAACCTAGCAGACATTCGAGATAGGGTTGTAATGGCGCCGCGGGGTATGGGCGCTATCGAT